TATACCTACTCAAATAGAGAAGACAGCCCTAAACCCAAGGACCCAAATTAGCTTTAAAATGCTTACTACATTATTTCTAAAAGTCCTCAAAGTAGAACTTGTGTAGCAACTTACTTAAAAAAAAAGTGAGGAAGCCCATATGGCACATGCATTTTTTTGTTGTTTTGTTTTTCTTTTTTTTCTTTTTTTGGGCACATGCACTTTAAGAAGCAGCATCACCAAGGAGCAAAGTCACTCACGGACCACAAGGGCAAACAGGATACTCCTAACCCTGAAAACAAACCAAAACATGCTATAAAATCACTAACCGTGCAGGTGAGTTAACTCAAACTTTTTGATCATATGAAAGAACATCCAAAGTCAAACTACATTTTAAACAAGACAGAACAGAGCAGGAACTCCAACTCCATACTGTGGGTGATAAGCTCACCTCCCAAGAGGTAAGGGCGGTGACTTTGAAAGACTACAAAGCCGGGAAATATGGGAAATGGTAAGGCAGGAGAGGGTGTAGGAGGCCCCAGAGGTGGTAACAGGAGTTCTGGAAAGAACAGAAAACAGAAAAGGTCAAAGACATTTCAAAAGAACATTTTGCAGAGCTGAAGAGACAAGAGCCTTCATCAAAAGCAGCTGCTGGCAAGGCGCGGTGGCTCAGCCTGTCATCCCAGCACTTTGGGAGGCTGAGGCGAGAGAACTGCCTGAGTTCAGGTTTCAAGACCCGCCTGGGTCAACCGGGTGAGACCTCGTCTCTATGATAAATCACAAAACTAGCCAGGCGTGGTGGCGTGCGTCTGCAGTTCCAGCTACTTGGAAGGCTGAGGCAGAAGGATCGCCGGAGACCGGCGGGTGGAGGCCGCGGTGGCCTTGAGCACGCCACTGCACTCCAGCCTGAGTGATAAGAGTGAGACTTCAACTCAAATAAAGGAAAAAAAAAGTGGCTGCTGAGTGCAAGGCAGGGTGAGTCATGGAAGACCCACTTTCAGACCCGCTGCTGTGTCATTTCAGACACCACAGATAAGAAGTCTTCAGCGACTGGAGAGAGGGAAGAACCAGAGCATCTACTACAGGGGGGCGACTGCTGGATTGCACCAGTCTGATCAGCAACGATGGATCCTAGAGGACTCCATAGCCGCTCCTCCAAGTTCCCAGAGAAAATTATTTTGAACCTAGAATTCTACTCCAGGCCAAACCAGCAATCAAGTAAAGGGCTAAATGAACACCACTCTCACTGAGACTCTAAAAAGTTCCCGTCCACAGTGTACCCTTCCTGAGTTTCACCAACAAAATGGTGAAAAACCAAGAAAGGAAGACGTGAGACTCAGGGAAGCGTGGAGTTAACCCATGTGTCCAAGAGAAACAAATCTCAGCCTAGAAAACCATCAGTCCAAGTCAGACCAGGAAGTCCAGGAGCTCTAAGTAGAGTATCTTCAGCAGAACAGAAGCAGATTCCAAGCAACAAAGAAAACGATACTGGCGTGAGGGAAAAGAGTCCAAAAGCATCCTCTCAATAAGAGAAAAGCGACCAACATCAGGAAACATAGGAGGACTGCACAGACAATAAGCAAAGATGAAGCAAGCCAAAATGCGGCATGATTCGGGCGGCTGCTGGAAGGGTCCCACTTGACCAGACACGAGGAGGGCATTCCTTGAGGGGCAATCGCTGTACAGTGCGTGGCTGGGCCATGAGTCAGAATAATTTGCCTAAGTCAGAATAATCACGCTGTTGTTGACTGGTGTTCAACTTTTAGAAGTAATCTATAGAGAAAGCACAAACATCTGAATGATGGCCACAGAATGGAACATCCATGTCATCCACTCCGATCATGCAAATGTGAGGGCGTACAGAGAAGGAAGAGCTGACAGAAGCTGGGTCAAGAAATGGAGGGCAGGAATGGTAATCCTCACCCTCCACTGGGGAACCAAGCAACACGCGTGAGAAGTGACCGAATGATAATCAGGAGGTTAAAGAAACAGTTTTAAAGGTAAAGCAGTAACCAAGAAAGGGATTAAAGAGGTGAAATGACCATCATCAATGGTGATGATGTGGGTGAAGGGAATAGGGGAGCCAAATGCTCATCTACTATGTCACGTCCTCACTGGAAGTTGGTCTGAGGTTGGCTGGGCATAGTGGGTCACGCCTGTAATCCCAACACTTTGGGAGGCGGAGGCGAGATGATTGCCTGAGCCCAGGGGTTCAAGATGAGCCTGGCAACATGGCGAGACCTCGTCTCTACGATAAATAAAAAAATTAGCTGGATGAAAAGCAGTGGGAAAGGAGAAATAAGACATACATATTTATCAACTGTGCAAGTCCCACGTTGACCTAATCCACTTCCAAAGAGTTGCCTATACCAGAGAACAAAAAGAGTTTTCTTTTTACTTCTGATGTTCATTTAAGTAAAGATAACATGGAAAGAGGTAATGATAGTTATAATTATTGTGGTATTGAAAACTAATTGTTTTAGAAGATTCCCTATTGTTAATTTGCTACTGCTTTGTTATGCTTTTTTGGTTTAATTTTCATCAAGACAATATTTTCATCTAGATAATGTTTTGATCTCTCAGGCAAAGTGAAAAATTAGCATCACAGAATAAAGCAACATTCCTACATGTATGTATATACATTATGCATGTATATATGTATATGTATTTATGTTTATAGTTTTATGTATTTGTCTATATGTAAATTAGATTTATACATATGTATGTATATGTAAACACACTCATTAAAATGTGTGTTGTGTCTCCATAGATACCATGAAGTAAAGTAATTTCCCTCTCTCAGTAAAAAAAAAGAATTAACCAGGCATGGTGGTGTGTGCCTGTAGTCCCAACTACTTGGAAGATCACCTGAGCCCAGCAGGTGAAGGCTGTGGTGCCATGAGTGTGCCACTGCACTCCAGCCTGGACAGCAGAGTGAGACACCAACTCAAAAGAAAAAAGTGTCTGAGGTTGAAAATTCATAGCACAAGAAAATTATCTAGAAACACATAAGTACCCAGCAAATGATCTGAGAATATAAAGGGTTAGACGTGACCTTTGAAAAACAGAGCTGGGGTAGGGAAGAGCAAAAGTGAAGATCTTCCAATACAAGAACTTTCAGGCCATTTGATTTCACAGCTGTGCAGTTAGAATCGTGATAAAAAGAATTATTATTATTTTTTTTTGAGTTGGAGTCTCACTCCGTCGCCCAGACTGGAGTGCAGTGGCCGCTCCCGGCCACCGCAGCCTCGACCTGCTGGGCTCCGGGGATCCTTTCGTCTCAGCCTTCCAAGTAGCTGGAACTACAGGCATGCGCGACCACGCCCAACTAATTTTTGATTTATTGTAGAGATGAGGTCTCTCCAAGTTGCCCAGGTGGGTCTCGAACCTGTGGGCTCGGGCAATCCACTCACCTCGGCCTCCCAAAGCATGGGATTACAGGCTGAGCCACCGAACCCTTCCTGATAAAATAATTTTAATAAATTTAAAAGTGAAAATATCCAGTCAAACTTGCTACGAGGACACTAACATATTAGTGCTTTCCAAACCCTGTTAAGCTTCTTTGGTACTTTATTAGAATGTATCCCCTTAGACCAACAGAGATAAATCTCGTATTTCAGTTATTGTCACTTAATCTAAACATGTATAACCATAACTCGCCTAATATGAGACATACATTTTCTCCCATATTTTTAGGTTACTGATTAACTTAATTGGCAGGTTAGTAATGCCAATAAATTATGTTGTCTTGCAATTAAAGGTGTCTTAGATTTGATGAAATGGAACACCTGTCGGGAGTATATGTATTTTTCCTCTGTGTAACTTTATAAAATCATAGGCTGTTTCACATTTTTTCTAATACTCTGTCCCTCCCATATAATATTCCTGCCATGTCCTGGTCTTCGAGATTTTTCCTGAACACCTTAGGGCCTAGGGACTAGCTGTTCTGATAGCCCCTGTGTCCAGCACACCATTCCTCTCAGGGCTGGCTCCTTCAGGTCATGCAGTCTCACCCTATGTGTCACACCTTGGAGAAGTCCGCTGACCACCCAGCCTAGATCAGCTGTATGCCCTAGGGACATTTCCTATCATGTCACCCGGTCTTACTTTCATCAAAGCACGGACCCTGGTATCTTCGTTTACCTCTTTCCTCACTAAAGCATAAGCTTCAGGAGAGCAGAGTTCTTGCCCATCTTGGCCATCACCACATCCCCAGCACCTAGAATAGAGTCTGCCACTGACTCGGGGCTCAAGTAGTTCTAGAATACTTTAGAAAAATAATGCTAAGCCTGTGGACACAAAATATAACCTTTTAGTAACTATGTTTCAAATGTATAAGCAGCATTGCTTCCTTATTCTTCTATAGTAGAGAATTTCATATGTACAATACATTGTTAGGAAGATCCATTTCTGACTGCTACCCAGTTAAATATAATTTTAGAATTATACTAATAGCATATTCCAAGTATAATTTACATAGCATGAAACAAACCATATTCTCTTTTATTCATCTGTATATATTACAAATTTACCTACTCTTTTTTTTCTTTGATTTTTTTTTTTCTTTTTTTGGGTAGAAATGAGTTCTCACTATGTTGCCCAGGCTGGTGTTGAACTCCTGGCCTCAAGTAATCCTCCCACCTCAGCCACCCAAAGTGCTGGGATTATAGGCATGAACTGCCATGTCTGGCCCAAATTTATGTAGTCTTGACTAGAACGGATACCAAACAGGATAAAAATAAAAAGGTTTATTTCTGAAATTCAAGAGTGCAATTACCCTCAACTTTTTAAATTTTAAGAAGTGTGGTGATCTCACCCAAAGGAAAGATCAAGTTAAAATTACTGTTTATACTTATAATTTTATTTCCCACAATTCAATTCAAAGGACTAACTGAAATAAAGTTTGTCCAATAGTGCAGAACATCTGACAAGAACAACAATGAATAACTGTCAGTTCCTTGGATACTTGCATTTTACATGTATGACAAAAGGATAAAATAAAAAGGCTGAAATCCTCAAAGTCTATTTGTCTGCTTTGTTTTTTATTCAAAAAAAAGTCCATGATTCTTTGGGAGGTGATACAAGATTGTTTTCCAGGCAGATCACAATTTCTCCAGTCTCTGCAATAACCATAATGCCAAAGGCTTCCACTATCCCCACTCCCATTCACTTTTGGCACCTATGCATGAAATGTCACTTCTGAAAAATGGGGAAAATGTGCCCAATGCTGGGTTTTTATCACAGCGCTCCTTTCCTGATTTTTCTGATTACTGAATTTAGAACACTGATACAACAAGAAAGAGTTACAATATCTCATCAGTGAAAATTCTACTTCTAGTTCTATGGCTGTCTCGGGAAAGCATTACATTAGAAACAGCAGCCAAGTCTCAGAGGTAAGGAATGATGGCTTATCTTACCTGTCCCCACTTCTAATTTTAAATGTAGAATTACACAGCAATTCTGTGAGAGGTAGCAGAAGGTCTGGCCCAGGCTCTGGCTTCAGCATCTTAGAATACAACTTTAACTCATCACGTCTTTCAGAAGAATGTGTGTGACACTTAAAGAAGAGGCTTACTCGACCTTTGTATGCAAGTGACCATGATCAGGAAGGCAGATGCCTTCACAGTGGAGAAGAAGCGACTGGTAATGACGTGAAGACTGAGCCAAAGAACTTCAAAAAATAGAAATGACTGGAGAAAAGGGGGTCATTTACCACGCACAATACTCTTGAGTCTTCACTTAGCCTACCAAAAAGAGTTCCTTCAAGAAAATCAAGTTGCTATCACAGGAGAAAAACAGTCAACACAGACTATTACTGGCCAATATTTAAGTACGAAGAAAGCAATTCACAACTTTCACAATTTTTCATATGTGAGGAGGATTCATAAGCTTGGTATCAACCTATTCGGCACAATTCAGATTCATTTTTTAGCTATCCTTCAACATGGCATTGCCAAGAAACTTATCCAAAAACATCTGTGGATTGTTTTCATTGTCATTAAAGCTAAATGGATTTTATTCAGCACTGCTGCTAAACTGATGAAGGTTGGGGGTGTCTTACTCCACCTCTTCCAAAACCTAATAAGACATTTTTGTTTGGGAACAAAAGATGGTCATGTTATAAAACCAGGATGAAAATAAGATACTCTGACTTTTTCTCTGTAATTAACACTTGACTGTTTTCCACCTGCAGCACTACATAACTAGTTAAGCTTCTGAGAGGGAAGGAGGCAAGAAAGAAACTCCGAAACCTCCTGACAGAGCAGCTGTCCTGCTGCATGAACCACGGCTTATTTCTTCTGCCAGTCACTGAGTCGCAAGTATTTTTCCCCATTTAAAGAAGCACGTGAGTGAGTGAGACGGGGAGAGCAGGAAGCACAAGCAAGAGTCAGCTCCAGCCTTCTCTCCATGAACCCAGCCCCATGTCCTTTGCGACTACACCGACTTCAGCCACCATCTTGGTGTTCACAGTAAGCAACACCTCTCTTTAAAACTTTTCTTGTTCTTGCTGCTTTTCTTGCCATTCTTGTCTTTGTTTTCTGACATCTTCTTTGCTCTGATTTCTCGCATTAGGTCGAAGAACACCTGGGGGTAGGGAGAAATGGGTCAGAAGAATAGGGAAGAAAAAAATCATTTAATGATGTTTCCATTAATCTGACATTGTGAACATATCATTTAATGACTTAATGAAATAATTCAACTAAGAATCATATGTAGTTATTTTTTAGAGCATAAAGCCAAACTTACTTTTATACCATATGCCAACAAAAGAAGGATTCAGAGCAAGAATTAACCCTGAAAACATTTTCTAATTACACAAAGGAAACATCTCTGCTCATATCATGCAATGGTCCAGCCCAGGACAGACTCATCATTCTGTTACTTCCACTCAACAACTAATTAAAAATGATAAAATATTTTATTATGGTAATTTAATGAAGAGTAAAGCATGTTTTCGCGTAGAACAGGTCTACAACAGTTTGTGAAATTTACAATGATCAAGACAACAGAAATCAGACTTTCTAGCATTCCCAACCACCAGAAAAAGGAAGGAGGACATGAGCACCTGCTACTGGGCGCTCTGTACATCTCTGTATTTCATTTAAACATCATAACGGCCCTCTTAAGGTTGAAATATTATGCATGACAGCTTTTCCAGCAGAACCCTAAGAGCAGCCCTGGGAAGGCGCTGGGTGGGAGGAGGAAGGCATAAAGTATCAACAAACTAAGACTCCTGCACTAGGAAGCCCAGGAGAGGTAGGGAGCGAGATGTCCTTCTGGCGACACCATTCCTCTCCATGTACAACCCCTACCCCCCACCCCAATGCTCAGAAACAACCACTCCTCCATTCCTTGTGATGTCAGCTGAGAGGAATTTTATCAAGAACTGATGAGACTTGTCCTTTGAATGTCAGTGTGTTATTTAGATACGGATTATCATTTGTTACAGTAGTTTGGGTTTTGCCCTCTGCTGCCAGCAATCATGCCAGAGAACTGATTATACCCAAGCAGACAAAATATGCCTCCCACAAAGAGACACTGAAGATTTCTCTTAGAATGACGAAGACTGAAAAGCATGAGATTGAGCACGGACTTTTATCTCTGGACACTCACAGAAAACCACAAGCTCCTATCTTTTACTTTCCTGAACATGCCTCCTTCTTGGTGAAAAGCAAGACTGAGCTTCTGGAGCATGGGACTCCACCTGCACTGACTGCCAGCTCCAGACACAGAAAAGTACCCCCACCCCCAGCTAGATCACTGACTGCCAGCTCCAGGCACAGAAAAGTACCCCCACCCCCAGCTAGATCAGGCTGACTTAAGCACCCCTTCTCGCCAGCCTCTCGGGAAAGAACTCCGCTCATAAAAGCAAGAGTGAACAGCTTCAGATGTGATGGGTTTTCCTTTGTGTCCGAACAGCAAACTGCAGGAGGAAGAGAATGTGGCATGAGTCCAACTCAAAATGATGACAACGTTGTTCACGGTGGATCTTATCACATCTTTCATGTAAATTCCTCACGAGTGAACACAATGCTGCCAGTCATAAGTTTCTGCTGGTTCCTGTTTGGCAGGTCAAGCTGGTCTAGCGGAGAAGGGGGGGACCACAGGGGCTGCGCTACTGGCCCCCCCAACCCCAGCTGAAAATACACGGAATTCCAAGCCCAGCACGTCCCCTGATTTTCCTTAAAGTGAGGCACATGTCTGGATTTCCGGTGGGCTTTCCGCAGCTAGGCAATAAGTTGATTTTTTTAAGTGGTTTTGAGAAGCACAAGAATCCACAGAAGAGCTGAGAGATAACAGTATTTTTTAAAAAGTAGCTGACAGCTGAACACGTTTCACATTGCAGATTACAACGAAAGGGATTTATGTTGTGGGATGTATGTTTCCTACATATCCTATATGCATGTGTCCTAAGAATATGTTTGTGTGGATGATACATTCAAACAGATGTATGTTGACACAGTATTTCTCAAGTGAACCCCTTCTAATACTGACATTCTAAATACCAATGTTGTTCCAGCATCACCTCAAGCTAAAGTAAAGCTTGGATCAAAATCTCTCCTCCATTAGGTAAAGAGGCTAGGGGGAATTATTTCTCCCCAAGAAAAAAAAAACAGTCGAAGGGACCTGGGGGCTGCAGGTGCTGACACTGCGTAACAGACAGCAGACGTAACCACTGCTTGGCTGCCAAAGTGACACATGACACCTCTGCCTAGATTTTAGAGGATCCTGGATCATGCAGTGAGGACTAGCGAACAAGGGAAAGGCAGAAGGAAAGGCTTCGTCCTTAAGGCTTAGCTGAAAGATTTTAGCTGTGTGGCCATCACCTTGAGCCGTAACTGGAAAAGGAAACCAAAGCCTAACAACAGCAATCCTTGATAGGGGGATTTTCAAGCAATCCTTGATAGGGGGATTTGTCAGCATTCATCATTGTCAAGGTCACCCTTTCATTAGCTTCAGAGGTTTAAATGAGAAATTGTCCTGGGGATGGGATAAGAGAGAGAAGAGACCCTAAGAGCTTATTCCTGCGAGCAAATAGCATTCAGCGGCTAAACTATGAAGGCAGACCTTGGCTCTGTCAGGAGACAGTAGGTGAAACGCACAAATGTATCACTAACCCAATGAGAACCAAATCAACCTCTGTGCTTCTTTCAGGGCCACCTTCAGGGGACCTCCCAAGAAGGCCCCCAGCCAGCCCCACTCCTAAGAGCAACAGGCTGTGGAAGACAAGAGCACAGGGAAGCTGACGAGCTCTGTCCTTGCAGCACAGCCCCACAAAACAATGGCCTCGTCCTGCCATTCTTCCAGGACTACACTCAACCAAGCCTCATGACAGAGCACAAGGACTCTGTGGGTTGTCTTAAATCCAAGGCCAACCCTCTTAATTTTCCCCATCATAACGGCTTAGACATCTGGAGAAACCAGAATCTTCACCTGGGTCCCATAAATGGCTCCCACAAAACCAATCAGGTGAGATTGTCTGCATTCTGCCATCTCCAAGAAACGCGCAGCGCGCGCATGCCTACCTTGTCCACGTTGGCCCGAGTCTTGGCTGACGTCTCCACATACTGCACACCCCACTCTTCAGCCTTGCCCCTGGCCTCCTCCACGGGCACCTGCCTCCGCTCCTCCAAGTCAGACTTGTTTCCCACAACGAGCAAAGGAATTTTATCTTCTTCAGCCTTAACGCGGAGAATCTGTTCCCTAAGGTGTCACACCAAACACACAGCTGAGAAAGCTAGAGTAAGAACCCAGTATCCTGGACCCATCTAAAATAAAAGGCTGTCCTAAGGCAGAAGAAAAACTGCCATGGTCAAGGCAAGAAAGCACTCCCCAGAGGCAATTAAACCAGACAAGTGTTTTCAAAGCCAGGTTCTAAATTTGCCGACATCAGATCACCTGGGGTGCTTATTACAAATGCACATTTCTGAGCCTAACAGTCCTACAGAAGTAGATGACTGGATAAGAGTCCAGAACTCTGCATTCTAAAAGGGTCCCCAATTCATGCTTATGCACCAAAAAAAAAAAAAACAAAACAAGAAAAAAAAGCTGTGAAATCTCTGGGATAAAAGCAAGCTGAAGGAAGTATCTCCATAAAATGCTTAGTAATTTCTCTGAAAAAATGGTAAGATTCCTTTGTGACAGTAAAACCTATGAAATCCAGTGTTATTCATATGGAAGGTGGCAGCTTATTAGTGGATCACAAAAGTCAATTTAGTGGGTTACAGCCAGCAGTTTTTTTCCCCCATCAGTGAAACAGAATATCATAAAACAGAACTGAACAAAACAGAAATATCCAAGGGAATATCAAGTGGTAAAGGTAAGTACCACGTTGTGCAACTTGTTTTAATTAGATCTGCATGTACATATACCTGCCTCCAGTTTCCATTTAAGCACAATAAATGTTACCGGCAACAAAATGGGCACAGACATAGCAGGCAGTAATCATATCTCAATGCACATTATTTTTCTACTACAAAGTGAAAACAATGAAAGGAAACACCCTATGGCTTATGGAAGAGTATTTCAAAAACATCTTCTCTGAAAAAACCATTATCTGTAGCAAATTAAATTTCATCTCTACTAAAAATCATCAGTTGTCTAAAAATATGAATCAAAACCAAAGATTAAAAATATTAAATATTCCACTTGGCCCAATAGGGAAATTTCAACTTCACATTCCAATACATTCTAAAAAGAGTTCCCTCCAGAAATGTATTTCGTGGAGATGTGCATTGATTTTTACATGATAAAGGGTAACATTTCACAACAATACAAACAAAAGAACTAATTTCTCTTCTTTCTTGTTTTTTCTTCTAAGGATCCCTCTTTTCACACAACAACCAAAACCCTTTTCTTTTTTTGTTTTTTTGTTTTATGTTTTTTGGGGGGTTTTTTTTTGTTTGTTTTTTTTTGAGTTGGAGTCTCACTCTGTCACCCAGACTGGAGTGCAATGGCCACTCCTGGCCTCCGTAGCCTCGACCTGCTGGGCTCCGGCAATCCTTCTGCCTCAGCCTTCCAAGTAGCTGGAACTACAGGCGCACACTACCATGCCTGGCTAATTTTTGATTTATTGTAGAAATGAGGTCTCGCCAAGTTGCCCAGGTGGGTTTCAAACCAGTGGGCTCAAGCAATCCACTCACCTCAGCCTCCCAAAGGTGCGGGATTACAGGCTGAGCCCCCGAGCCCAGATCAAGTATCCTTTAAAAGGTCCAAAGGAAGGCCTCAGATAAGCCTGTAGAGTGGGAGGGTGTCTCAGTGGTTACACTTCATGGTTTTGGATCTTCAGTGGGTCGAATACCTCAATTCTCTGGAAATGTAGTGTGTATATTGTGGTGATCAGTTAGGCGTCTAGAACTCATTATGAGAAGTCCTGTTGATTTGTAGACCTTTCAGACATACTTGGAGGTTTCTGTATCTGAATATAGCACATGTATTTATAATTTTGTTTGCGTCCACATAGTCCTATTTTTATGCCTCCTTGGGGATAAAACCGGCAGAGGCACACACTGTCTTATTTTCCTCCCTGTCCTGAGCCTTTGGAATTCCCGTTGCTCTGGGAAGCACTGGGCAGGAGAAGAATCCTCTCCAGAGGAGAGAGAGTGCTACCACACGCACACAGACCACACAGTGATACTCATGTGTTCTCATGGAGTCGGAGCAGAGTCTTACTTCATCTTGGAAAAGGATTTTGGAGCTTGGAAAAGGATCTCTACAATAAATCAAAAATGAGCCGGGCGTGGTAGCGCGCGCCTGTAATTCTGGCTACTCGGAAGGCTAAGGCGGAAGGATTGCCAGAGCCCAGCGGGTCGAGGCTGCGGTGGCCGGGAGCAGCCGCTGCACTCCAGTCTGGGCGACAGAGTGAGACTCCGACTCAAAAAAAAAAAGGATACTTGGTTTTCTCACTGTCACCTTTGACTGATGGCCTCACTTTCTGACCAGAACTTGCTAAAAAAATTTTTAAATTACTGAGTGTTCTTTTGTTTAGTTTTCTCTTTCGTTCTCTGCTTCCTAAAATAAAAAGTCATCTGGATAGGTATGTTTACAAAGAGAACAGACTTTTAAAAATATAATTGTGTAAAACAAATGAGAAGGATATGGGATATGAAGTTATAATACAAACACTGGTAGGAGTAAGAAACGAGTTCTTATTTATAATCCACAAATGTATACAACTCATCTGAAAAGAGAGTTACAGAGGATAAGAAGTATGCCCAAAAGACTCACTATTTCCTTATAACACAATGAACGTAAGGTTTCTTTAACTGCCACATTTCAAAATGGATTATAGCAGTGAATATTCTATTCACTATGTCAGCAACATGAGCCCACACTGTGACAGGGTCTGGGGACACCATGGCAGATAGCCATGGCTCCTGCCAGTATGAAATTCATAGTTTAATGCATTTCATTTCATTTCACAACTAACAAGTGCATTTTCTTCATTTTCCTTTTTTTTTTGACTTGGAGTCTCACTCCGTCACCCAGACTGGAGTGCAGTGGCTGCTCCCGGCCACTGCAGCCTCAACCTGCTGGGCTCTGGTGATCCTTTCGCCTCACTCTTCCAAGTAGCTGTAACTACAGGCGCGCGCTACCACGCCCGGCTAATTTTTTTAAATTTATTATAGAGATGAGATCTCGTCAAGTTGCCCAGGTGGGTCTCGAACCAGGCAATCCACTCACCTTGGCCTCCCAAAGCACTAGGATTACAGGCTGAGCCACCGAGCCCGGCACAAGTGCATTTTCAGAGGGAAAAAAAAACAGAATCTCAATGTTAAATAAACTTGCCCATGGTCATAAAGCCAGGAAGGGGCAAGGCAGAGATTCATACCAGGTATATCTGATTCTAAACCACTTTCTTTCCTTTCCACTATGCTCAACATCCTCACTGCAGCAGCAAATGGTCATTCTGACTCACATCTTTTCCTCTCCTATCAAAACTTCATAAACCTCAGAATAGACCAAAATTACAGTAAAGTTACAAAAAAGATAGAGTTAACACATCAATCACTGTCTCTCAGGAATTTTTTTTTTTTTTTGAGTTGGAGTCTCACTCTGTCACCCAGACTGGAGTGCAGTGGCCGCTCCCGGCCACCGCAGCCTCGACCTGCTGGGCTCCGGCGATCCTTCCGCCTCAGTCTTCCGAGTAGCTGGAACTACAGGCGCGCGCTACCACACCCGACTCAGTTTTTATTTATAGTAGAGATGAGGTCTCGCCAAGTTGCCCAGGTGGGTCTCGAACCCGTGGGCTCAGGCAATCCACCCACCTCAGCCTCCGAAGGCGTGGGATTACAGGCTGAGCCACTGAGCCCGGCTCTTTCAGATTTATATGAACAAAGTTGCAGATTCTTGAATATATGGACTAGCTTCATCCTTTTTCAGAGACAAGATTCCTAAGATAATTTACATTCGGAAGTCATAGAACAGGGAAGCCCAAGGAGATTACAACAATAGTGGTCTATAATGTGCCAAGATTCAGAAAGCCCCAGGAAATTCTTAGACAGAATTCTGCCTAAGAACAAGTCTGACACTCTGCTATTATACTCAGCCCCAAATTCCTTCCATGCCTAAGACACATGAAAAAGGCAAAGCCTCCTGGGCCTTCAGTGCTCTCATTTCAAACGCACCTGAACTCGGCAGTTGCTGTAAAGGACTCGTGTTCTGTAATGGAGAACACCAGCAGAAAGCCTTCCCCACTCCGAAAGTAGTTGTCACGAATGGCTGCATAGTCCTCTTGTCCGGCGGTATCCAGAATATCTATCTGGACTTCTTCTCCGTCAAGAACCACCTTCTTTCTATAACTGTCAGCTTTGGTAGGTTCATAGTCTTCTACAAACTGGGGAAATCAACAACATTGTCAGTAGTGAACAAAGTCTTAAGGGAATAAAATCTGCCAAAAAATAAAATTCGTTATGTGGGTACTTTACACCAAGTGAAGATCCCTTAGCATATAAGGCATTATAAAATAAAAATAACACCGTGTATAACATTTATGTTCTCTATAGATCTCAACTCTACCATTTTTTATTTTGTTTTTAAATGACTGGGGCAGATATCTTTTTTTTTTTTTTTTTTTTTTTTTTTTTGAGATGGAGTCTCACTCTGTTGCCCAGGCTGGAGTGCAGTGGCATGCTCATGGCCACCCCAGCATCTACCTGCTGGGCTCAGGTGATCCTTCTGCTTCAGTCTTCCAAATACCTGTAACTACAGGTGGGTGCTACCATGCCCGACTAATTTTTTGATTTATTGTAGAGATGAGATCTTGCCAAGTTGCTCAGGCTGGTCTCAAACCCATGGGCTCAGGCAATCCCCTTACCTCAGCCTCCCAAAGTGCTGGGATTATAGGCTTGAGCCACCACACCTGGCCAGATATCCCCATTTTAGAGATGAGGGAACTAGGCAATGTTATTGCTAGTATAAAGTTATAATACAAACACTGGCAGGAGTAAGAAATAGGAGTTCTTATTCATAATCCACAAAAGTATACAATTAATCTGTAAAGTAATTTAGCAAGATGTAGCAGGAGGTTTTTAGTGTTCTGAATTTTTTGAAAAAGGAATGAAGTAGTGATATGTGCTGCAACATGGATAAACTTGCAAACACTAGGCTGAGAGAAAGAGGCCAGACATAAGGGCCACATAGTGTACGATTCCATTTATATGAAATGTCCAGAACTGGTAAATTCCTAGAAACAGAAAGTGGCCGCCAGAGACCAAGGGAGGGGCATGAGGAAGCAGTAAAGGGGAATGACTGCTGCTATGGAGGGTTTTAGTTTTCTGAGCGATAAAAATGATCTAAAATTAGATAATAGTGAGGTTGCATGTCTGTATGAATATACAAAAGACCATTAAGTTGCACACTTTATTTATTTATTTATTTATTTTTTGAGTTGGGGGTCTCACTCTGTCGCCCAGACAGGATTGCAGTGGCACGCTCCCGGCTACCGCAGCCTCGGCCTGTTGGGCTCAGGCGATCCTTCTGCCTCAGCCTTCCGAGTAGCTGGAACTACAGGCACACGCTCCCATGCCTGGCTCATTTTTTGATTTATTGTAGAGATGAGGTCTCGCCAAGTTGCCCAGGCGGGTCTCGAACCCGCGGGCTCAGGAAATCCACTCACCTTGGCCTCCCAAAGGCGCGGGGTTACAGGCTGAGCCACTGAGCCCGGCTAAAAACTTCAAATAATTCTGAAAGTAATGGAATCAGAAGAATTTCCTCATCATAACTTTATCATTTTCGGTAAGAAAAATGGGATAGGATTCCTTGTGCCAGTGCCTTTTTTGAGAGGAGTCTGTGATAAGTTGGATTATAGAAATACTTTTTGGCATTCTTCTTCCTTCTAAGTACATAGCAATTGATTTTGTATTAAAATATTTTAAAATTATTGACAATTTATCTACATTGTCAGAAGGAATTAAAATATCATTAAATGAATGTTTTAATTATGTCTTTTTACTCAGATTCTGAAAAAGACTGTGTTATTTGTGGTGGAGGACACCTGTGATGATCACTTTTGCATGTCAACCTGACTAGACCATAGGATGCCCAGACATTTGGGCAAGGTTTATTTTAGGTGTGTCTGTAAAGTTTATTTATAAGTGTTTCGGTATAATTTTGGAGGAGATTATCATTTGAATCAGCAGACCCAGTAGGTTACTCTACTAATATGGGTGGGGCTCATCTAATCTGTTGAAGACACAAGTAGAGCAAAATGGCTGAATAAGAGGGAACTTGACCTGCTTGCCTGCTGAACTGAGACGTCAGTCTTTTCCTGCCCTCAGACAGATGGGAATTTACACCATGGACTCCTGGGTCTCAGGGATATTGAATTCATGCTTTCTCTCTCTCTCTCTCTCTCTCTCTCTCTCTCTCTCTCTC